TTGCTTTTGAGGTCCATTGATCTCAGCGAGAATTCATTCTCTGGGAACCTTCCTCAGACAATGCAGAAACTTAGCCTGTGTAGCTATCTAAATCTGCACCAGAACTCATTTGCCGGAGAGGTTCCTGAGTGGATTGGAGAGTTGAAGAGCCTGGAGACTTTGGACCTTTCTGGCAATCGATTTTTGGGCGAAGTTCCAAGTTCAATAGGTAATCTTCAGGCTTTAAAGGTGTTGAATTTTTCTGCAAATGGGTTCACTGGGAGCTTACCCAAGTCTATGGCTTATTGCACAAGCCTTGTGGCTTTAGATTTTAGTAAGAATTCGATGGCGGGTGAACTTCCTGCGTGGATATTCAAGGCGGGTTTAGAGGAAGTTTCACTTTCAGAGAAAAAACTAAGTGGAAGCGCAAATAGCCCTGTATCTTCCTCAATTGGAAATCCGCCTCAAAATCTGCAAGTCGTGGATTTATCCCTTAATCAATTTTCTGGCGAAATTGCATCTGACATTGGGGTCTTAAGCAGTTTACGTAGTTTGAACCTCTCCGGTAACTCTCTTATTGGTCCTATTCCTGTGACTATTGGAGAGTTGAAGGCCCTGGACAATGTGGATTTGAGTGAGAATCGGCTCAGTGGAAGCATCCCTCTGGAAATTGGTGGGGCTTTTTCGTTGAAGGAATTGAGATTGGAAACTAACTTTCTCACAGGAAAAATTCCAACTTCAATAGGGAACTGTTCTTCTCTGACCACTTTGTAAGTTCTCTTAGCTCTACATTTCATTTCTGGTCTCGTGCTTTTTTTAATTTTAACAGGTAGTTTGGGATTCACGCATGAATCCAGGTTTCATTTAAACATTTTGGATGCTTGTTATTGAGAAATTCTGCATTTACCCTAACCTAGAACTGAGAACTAATTTGCACATAAAACTTTTCTTTGGCGCATTGTCGAAATGGATGTGTGTTTGCACTTAAGAAGTCCACTTTTACATAGTATGTTTAAATATTATCCTTCATGTTGTAGACATTTTGGTCATACTGGGAAGTTAGAACTTCAAGTGCTGCAATTTGATTTCGAAGTACAGAGATATATTTTTCTGTTGTTTGAGATTGTTTCATGTTAATGAATTGCATACTGATTTTCTGGGAAGTAATGAAGACGTGAAATCTCTTGCTGCCACTTTTGCTTGATGATAACGTGTAATACCACATTAGTCTGGATTTTTGCTATTTCCTTCTTGAAAACTAGCTACTAGCTCAAAGGTTTCGTTGTCACTAATTTTGTTATGGGGTTGTAATCCAAGTCCTACTCTATTTTTGCATTCTAACATATTTTTCTTGTTTTTTGATATATTCTTTTGGTTGAATTCTCCAGAATTGCATCACAGAACAGATTGACTGGCCCAGTACCTGCAGCAATGGCCAAACTTACCAACTTACAAAATGTGGACTTGTCTTTCAATAACCTCACGGGAGGCCTACCCAAGCAGTTAGTCAATCTTCCCAACCTTCTTTCCTTCAATATTTCCCACAACAACCTCCAGGGTGAACTACCTGCGGGCGCCTTTTTCAATACCATCTCCCCTTCCTCTGTCTCTGGCAATCCATCTCTTTGTGGCTCTGCAGTTAATAAGTCTTGCCCAACAGTTCTTCCGAAACCCATTGTCCTCAATCCCAACTCCTCTTCTGACTCCACCACACCAGGAACATTATCTTCAAATCTTGGTCATAGAAGAATCATCCTTAGTATTTCTGCACTCATTGCCATTGCTGCAGCTGCTGTCATTGTCATTGGTGTGATTGCCATCACTGTACTTAATCTCCGAGTCCGATCTTCTACAACTCATTCACCAGCAGCCCTCGCGTTATCAGCTGGGGATGATTTCAGCCATTCCCCAACAACAGATGGCAACTCCGGCAAGCTTTTCATGTTTTCAGGTGAGCCTGACTTCAGCACTGGTGCACATGCTCTACTCAACAAGGACTGTGAGCTTGGTCGTGGAGGGTTTGGAGCAGTCTATAGGACAGTTCTTCGAGATGGGCGGCCTGTTGCAATCAAGAAGCTCACTGTTTCAAGTCTTGTCAAGTCTCAAGAAGAATTTGAAAGGGAAGTTAAGAAATTGGGGAAAGTGAGGCACGATAATCTTGTGGAAATCGAAGGCTATTACTGGACTCCATCATTGCAGCTCATCATATATGAATATGTCTCTGGCGGTAGTTTATATAAGCATCTTCATGATGGAGCAGGTGGAAACTTCCTGTCATGGAACGACAGGTTCAATATAATTCTTGGAACTGCGAAAAGTTTGGCCCATTTGCATCAAATGAACATAATTCACTACAACATAAAATCTAGCAATGTCCTGATCGGCAGCTCGGGCGAACCCAAAGTGGGAGACTTTGGCCTAGCAAGGTTGTTGCCAATGCTTGACCGATATGTTTTGAGCAGCAAGATCCAGAGTGCCCTTGGCTACATGGCACCAGAGTTCGCTTGCAAAACAGTAAAGATAACTGAGAAATGTGACGTGTATGGGTTTGGGGTTTTGGTTCTGGAGGTGGTCACTGGGAAGAGGCCTGTAGAGTACATGGAAGATGATGTTGTGGTTCTTTGCGACATGGTCAGAGGAGCATTAGAAGAAGGCAGAGTAGAGGAATGCATTGATGGTAGGCTCCAAGGAAATTTCCCTGCAGAAGAGGCTATTCCTGTTATGAAATTAGGCTTGATATGCACGTCACAAGTGCCGTCAAACAGACCAGACATGGCGGAGGTGGTCAACATATTGGAGCTGATCAGATGTCCATCGGAAGGCCAAGAGGAGTTGTGATGAATTTAACTAATCTTAACAGATATTCAGTGAAGGGATTTGCAAGGGGATATCCGGCACAGAAGAATCCAGTTGGTTACTCTCATCGGAGGGAGAAGAAAGTTTTTATTGTTGGAAGGTTTTTCTTTTCTGTATTGTTGTATTTATTTTCCTTCTATTGTGGATTTCCTGTTTATTTCTGTAGTTTCTCCTCCCATGCTACAAGTAGCTAGGTCACCAGATTCTTCTTTGCCGGGTTCCAAATTTGGGTCCCTCTCAGATATTGTCACTACTAATCTTTTGTACTCTTCCAGTTTCTGTCTTGATCATGTTTCTTTCTAAGAGCTGATTCTATTGTTGACTTCTAAAGGCTTTTAGAAAGTTTTGCAAACATATCACGGAGCATACTTCTTAATCTGTTTTCTTCTGCAACTTACCATAATTCTACTATCTATATACTTGTTGGTTGCTATCTCCTTAATGAGGCTCTTACAGTTACTAAACCATGCATATCAAGATCCCTCCTGCAGAAAAGAAAAATAGAACCAAAGAAACAATGAAAGGGCAGAATTGACTTTGGAAGACCTGTATGGGGAAGGGGTTGGTGGTTGTTCTTGGCCCATGTGTTGACAATGATGGCAATTCAAAGGCAATATAATACAATCTGCAAGTCAAAAGTGAGTTGAGAGGCTGAGGAGACCAGAGAATCTTAGTGCCCACTTTAAGGCTAATGCAGCTAAAGAGCTGAGTATAATAATGCAAAAGGAAGAAAAACCCAAAATGGTAGGGCATGCTTATATTCATATTATAAAGAGATAGAGCATCTCGAAGATAACAGATGATGAAGCTATATGGGAATATTTTACTACACACATGATGATGCCCTGTCGGAATAGAAGCAATCTTTTTTTATGTTATATATTATGCCACCCACATCTTCAGGTTCTAATTTCAACTTTCTTCTAATGCCTTCTTTGTTTATTTCTCTTTAAACCTTCTCCAATGTTTTTCTCTTCCCAATGAATTGCATGGATTGCCCATCTCCTCTTTGATATCTCTCTGGCCAAAGGCACAATTAAAAACACATAAAAATAAGGCTCCCTAATTAGACCGACTAAGCCCATATATGTAGAAAAACTCGCATAATCTTGACGATATAGTTCAGTTTTTGTACTAGTTGGTTTTCCTCCTATAAATAAAATACTATCACATTTCTCTCTAATAAATTAAAAATAATAATAAGGCACTTCTAACAACTACAACGCACGGAAAAGAACACCCAATTTCTTTAAAGGGCAGTCAAAGAATATAAATTTCCATAGCCATGTGCATAGATTGCAAAGCAATGCCAATGAGTTGTCCCTAGTGCACTCAGCCAATGCCATGACTTAAATAAGAATTAGGGTTTTGGGCCCAAGGGCAAAATAAACAAATAAATACGTTGGTATTTGCATTATCAGCTAGCACATGGCTTCCTCTATAAATTAGAGTTTCTTTGGATATGGATTGTTAATGCAGGTGAAGAAAACAAATACACCTCTTTCTTTTTTCTTTTTCTTTTTTGGTAACATTCCCAAGTGCTTGGGTTTATAGTATTATTATCTGTTGCTCTGTCCCATAATGTTTTCTTCCATTCCATGTAACCTCATCAAAAGTCAAGAATCTCACTGCCTTTGATAACATGGATTGAGCTCAAGATGCAAGGTAGTAGCTCAATGTGCATTGGTTTGGGCAGTCGAGTTAAAAGACTTTGCTTTCACAAACTAACTCCCAAATGTTTAAGATTAAGCAAGTTACAAAAGATGGGCAGCAATGCACTGAAACGAAAAGCTGCAAAAAGCTGCTGCTTGCTTCCATTGTTTGGAGAACATATAAAGTGAGAAGGCATTATTGAGGAGAAGCGTTGCGCATAAAGAAATCTTGTTCTGATATTTTTTTTTTTTTGGTAAAGAGGAGGGCAAGGCCCAATAAAACACTAAGGAACAATAAGTCTGGGTAAGCACATCCTACACATATCCTTGAAGATTAACTGATTGACAGCAACAGGAGCAGTAACCCAAGTATGGAGACCCAAAGGCTTGGTGACCCCAATAGAAGCAAGCATATCAGCAACAGAATTGCTTTCTCTGAAGACATGATGAATACGACAAACACCACCAGTCATGCTAGCTTTACAACTAGAGATAAGAGTGAACAAAGGGTGAAGAGGGTCACAACTAGGCGCATTCACGAGGTCCACCGCCAAACAGGAATCAGACTCCACAATAAGGGGAAAATAATTCGATTGGTTAGCAAGCCGCAATCCATAGAGGATGGCCCATAACTTAGCTTGTAAAACAGACCCCCTCCCAATATTAGCAGAGAATCCACCAACCCAGTCCCCATTGCATTTCTGATAATACCACCAGCACCAATAATCCCTTCCTCACCTTTCCTGCAGCCATCAGTATTTAGTTTCCACCAACCAACCAATAATCCCTTGTTTTGATATTTTGCTTCCATGCTTTGCTTTTGTTCAGGGACAACTTGAGAGCCCTTCAACTTTTTGTCACAGCAGTTGAAAGTTTGAAACTGGAGCCTCTTGTGTTGAATTGGTAGGTGGGGGCACCACACACACCTACCAACAACAACAGGTCCTAAACAACACATGCCCACTAACAGTTTTTGCTATGATTGATTTGGTCTGGCCTCATGAGATGGCATTTGCAGCTTTCTGTTATAGCTATGATGTCAAAATTTCAGCTGTGTTCTCCAACCTGGCTCTGTTTTTTTTTCATTAAGAACTGGTTTAGTTATCCAGATGAATAGCATGATAGAATAAATCAGGATTTAATTAGTCAAATGCAATCTCTGTTAAATCCAAACCTTCTGTCAGGAGACAGCATCACATTATGAGAGGAAGCATAAAAAAAGAAAAGGATTGCAAGTTAAATGGACTAGTTACCCAAATTGTTACATGATCTTCTCTCTGGTTTTGCACAGCAGTGAATGAATAAAGACTCAAATATTTTCATCTCCCTCCTGCTCTACATTTCCTTTTAAGCAAATTATCACTCCACCCATCTCTGCCACAGATTGAAATTAAAAGGCCCTTAACTGGTAGATTTCCCAAATTCCATACATGCACTTAATTCCCAAATATCACTCCATCATCTGGACAATTTCTAGAGTTCTATGTTCAGGCTAGCAGAGAAGTCTTTAAAAGAAAAGTTTTATTGTTGAATTTTCTTAGGAAACATATAAATTGAAAAGTAAGGCATACAGGGAACCAGAACAAACAGAACATCAAATATATGGCCAAAGAAAACCCTTCAAAATTTGTCCACATAATATCAACATATATGCAATTATACAAGACAGAGAGCAATCACTACCAGACAAGAACATATGCCAACACCTAAGCTGACCCTGAATGTTTGATTGTCCATATAACAGTAAGGAACCAACAACTGATTTTCTTGTTAAGAAAAACTAAACCCAAAAACAACATCCATGATTGATTGATGCGTACACAACCCGAACCAGTCATCAACCTTCAAAAGAAGATCCTTGTTTTGATGGAATTCAAATGGCAAACAAGATATATTGAGATTAAGCATTGGCCATGTAGTTGAAGAAAACTTTCATTCACAAAATTGCCTTCAGCTAGTCTTCAACTTTCAAAATTGGCATCATAAGAGCAAGAAACAATCAGGTTGAGTGATAGATAGAAGTTCAGAAACAGGACAATCTTAAAACCACAAACACAAAAAAGGAGTTTGGAAATGCATAACCCAAACAAAAGCAACTTCACTTCACCAATGACTTAAAGAAACAGAAAAAGGGAGGGGAGAGAAAGGGGCTTGTTTGCCTGTTGAGGAAGCTTGTTAACTTTTATTGGGGCCAAGTCATGAAAACTTGGGGAGCAAGCAAACAGTATCACTACTCCTTTGGATTACCAGAATAATTAGTCATAAAACCCCTTACCCCAAACTTGGAACACATTCATAACTTTCCTGATTTATTTACCATAATAAAGAGCAAAGCATGAGTAAAATGCAAGCTGAAATCAAATCGTGAAAACACAAAAACAAATGTTCATTCATTTCAACATCAATGTCCAAGTCAATGTCAAAGTCAAAGTCAGTGTCAATGTGAATTATGTGACTGGTTTGGTATGTAATATATGTCTGTCTGTCGGTCTGTCTCATTGTCTTCTCCACCTCAATCCTCCTCCCACCACCAGAGCCTTATACTTTCTTTTCTTTGTTTTTTTCTCCAAATCCAACACCGTTTCCAACTCATTCGACATGTACCAAGATGAAGATGGGCCGCCAACTGGTCCAAATACTCAAGAGGCTCCAATCCAAGAAGAATAGTGAAGATTCAGATAATTTTGTAGTTCTACCATTTTGCAGTGGCTTAATTGCAATTAAAAGTTTAATGCTTTTAAGTCCTTTATTTTTCCTAATTTCCAACTGAGCTCCCCAATCTCAAAGCTTTACACTTTTTTACTTCCCCAATATTCCATGTAAGCAAATACACCCCTCTGACTCTGAGAGTCTTTTTCGCCACCCAGTCACTGCCCTAAAACCCTAATTCACCTTCCCAAACCCTTAATTTCCCCTAATTGCAATCGGCAAATCATGCCCAATTCCCCAAATTAGGGTTTTCAGTTCCCACTTCCGCCCAAAGATGTCCTCCGAAAAATTAGGTCTGGTTCCGACCCAGAACGGGCTCAACTCTCAGCTCGTTTTCCAAGACGAGAACTTGCGCTTCAATTGCGGAGCTCCGCCTCAGCGCCGGGTCGGGGACTCGGGTCCGAAGACCCGAGAGCTCAGCGGTTTCATTGATGACCGGTTTTTCGCGCCGCAAAGCGCTGATTTCCGCCCCAGCATGTATAACGAGAATCCGGACCGCCGGGAGCCACCCGAACCCCGAAACTGGAACTCGAATGGAGCCGACACGACTCCGAGCGGTGAGGGATCGGACGAGGATGACGACGACGACGACGACGAGGATGACGTGGACAATGATGATGAGGCTGATGAAGGTGACGCTGAAGTTGGAGGGCTTGTCGGAGTGGATAACAGAAACAAGGGCATTGCCAGTAATAATGGGAACAATGGCGAAGACAAAATGGGAAATGGGAAAGTTAAGCACCATAACCAGCACCATTCTTCTTTTGGTAAGCGATTTTTGCGGAAAGTTCTGAGCTTGTCATGATATAGTTTCTAATTTTGGAAACTGTCGTTGAATGCTGCTTTTTGGCATGTTATTTATTTTATTTATTTATAATTAGGTGGAACTGTGATAGTAGGATCAAGTAGAGAGGTGTTGGTGAAAGACCATAGTGTGGGGCAGCAAATAATGAACAACAACACAAGGGCTAGTCCCAGTGATACTCAGCAAGGAAGGCTTGGAAACTATCACAATGTGGTCACAGTCGCAGAACCAGACGGTGAAATTTATTATTCTCAGTATTTGCAGGGGTCTGAGGGGTCTGGTTCTGCTCAAAAGGATTCAGTTGTGGAAAATGGATGTGGGTTTAGTGGAAGAAAGGATGTTATGTATTCGTCTGAGTCTGGAGACTCTTTGAGAGCAATTCTCTCTGATCCTGTGACGTAAGTTTTGTTTGTTCAAGTATTGGTTATTTGGTTTTGTATTTGGTTATACTTTTCTGGTTTTTTAGCTTTAACCAAGATGGAATTGGTGACTCATAGTCTTTGAGCTGTGTCGATTTGCAGGGGAGCTCTGATGGATGATGCAATGATATTGCCTTGCGGGCATTCCTTTGGAGGTAGTGGAATACAGCATGTTATTAGAATGGTGAGCTCCATTTATCTGTTATAGATGTGATTGTTTCTGTTAGTCTTTGAGAAAAGGTACTGGGTACATATTCTTGTAATGAACTGACTGGCATAGAAACTTTAAGTCCTTCATAATGGTATTTAGACTTTGAAAGTTTATGGAGATACATAATTGGGCATTGCTTTCTTTCTAGTGAGTGCAAGCTTGGCAAGATTGCTGATATATGTTCTCTGCTGTATTTTGGCTGCATATGTATGTATGATTTTACATATATAACTAGTAATGTGCATAATTTTCAGTTTCTACAATTTTAAAATAAAGATAGCTACAATAGCATTGTTGTTTTGTTGATAAGACAGGATACCGTCCTTGCTTCAATTGCTTTCATTTTAAAGGGTGCAAGCAAGTTTGCAAAACTCCATTTTGCTAACTGTTGACCGTGGGGTGGAATTCAATGAAGAGAGATACTAGTGTTAAATGATTTTACAAAGACAAAAAAAGAAGCTAAAAAGTGATATTTCCACACTATTTTGCCCCTTTTGCTGGCAAATATATGTGCTACATGTGCATGTAGGATTCTATAAACCAATGCTAAGAAGATATGCCTTGTACTTGCTTTTGGTTAATTAAATTTTTGTTTGGTTTTGATTGTCAAAATTGAATTTTTATCATATTATGTTTTCAGAAAGCTTGCTACACCTGTTCTCAGTCAATTTCAGAAGATTCAATTGCCCCAAATCTCTGTAAGTGAAAAAAATTTCATCGAAGCTTTATGTCCACGTACCATTTCGAAGTTAATATCTTCTCAGCTATATGTAATGGGGACAGCCAGCAAATCATTTGCCCGTGTCTTGGTTCTGTATGTTCCATGCTGAACTTCTCTATATCAGTAGCCCTGTCTCATTGGTGCTAGAAAACTTGTTGTCTGGCTTGGCATGTCTAAATATGTTGATGAAGGCTCCAAAGAAAAAGGAATTGATGTTTTTGAAATTAACTTGAGTAAGAAAGGAAAAAGAAGTGGGGACAAAATGAAATCTTAAAGGAACAGAGAGAGGGGATCCGAAACCCTGGATGGGAATACTTGGGGACTAGCATTTACTGTCTTAGGGAAAGAAAAACGTTGACATTTAAGTGGGAAGATCATGGTTTGGGGCTCTTATAGCTCAAGAGAAAGGACGAAAGAATAACTGTCAGATGACAAAGTGTAGTATGTTACAGAACTCACTCTAGACTCTAGTATTACTTATTTTGTCTTATATGTGCAGCTCTTCGAGCTGCTGTGCTGGCATTCCGCCGGGAAGAAGAGTTACAATTTTATCGCTCATCCAAAAGAAGAAGAGAAAGGTTTGACCAGGTTTGTCTTCAGAAATGGTGACATCATTAGGACACTATTATCAAAAGCTTGAGACTAAGTCCTTTTTTCTTCTCATGTAGGAAAAGGGTGGTTACAGTGATTCAGTTCTCGTGGACACTCCGAGGGGTAGAGGTGTTCAGTTTCCATTTGTAGTGACAGACCGAGTTATTATAAAGGTTAGCAGAGTAAAGTCCCAAACTTGGCTCTAATTCTTGTTCAATTGTTTGTTCTAACTAATAATTGGAGTGAAATGTCACAGGGGAATAAGAGGACACCGCAGCGCTTTGTGGGGCGCGAGGCTGTTGTCACAACACAATGCTTAAATGGATGGTTAGTCATGTTCTAGTTTTCTTCCTATTTTGTATAACAATTTTAAAATTTATCAAGAAATGTTCCACCTTACATTCTTGCGTCGCATTCTTTTGTCAAATGAGATGCTGGCTTAGATTTGTTTTCATTGTACAAATTGCATCAACAGGTATGTGGTAAAGACATTGGATAATGCAGAGAGTGTAAAATTGCAGTACCGGTCACTTGCCAAGGTATCCGATGAACCCTCATCTAAGCCAATGTCAAGCAAGATGGGACCTAACTGGCTCTAGGCGTACATACAGAAATAGGAAACGTGAGGCCGTAATAGTTTGTTGCCTATTATGCCAAGCTATAACTAACTTTGTTGTTTAAGAAGTTTCTGCCCCTACTTAAAGTTGTATTTCATTACAAGCAAACACGGTCATATGCGGGCCTTGTAAATTATATAGAAGCCTTGTCACAGCTGCTTTGAGGAAAGGCTATAATTTAGATTGTAAAAATATGTATTCATTTTTCTTCACTTTGAGCAACGTTGTATTTAAGTCTTTGTAAAAGTTTATATAAAGCATTTTTGGTCTGCGAGATCGTAGTGTGTTCTGAGTCTTCTGACTTCTGATGTTTTATGTTTTGTATAACTGTACTCAACTTAGACGTACAAGTCCATCCCAGAATGCGGAAATCGGGCTGCAACCTCATGTTTTTCCAAGTTCATGTTTTGTCATGTTTTTTGAACCGATTTTATTGATTTTGGCTATTATAGGAATATCTTGCAACAAACTGTCAATTTCTGATATATCAAATCATCATCATTAGCAACAAACTGTCAAATGGATTCAAAATTCAGCCAAGAGGGAGTGAATTACAGAACCTGAAAATCAACGACTAACAAAGTAGTAAATCTCAAGACTTATTATTTCAACAATTGGAACTGTAACAGTCGTATTCTGCCGCTCTAGATACGCTGACAGATCCATGACCTCCGTTTCTGATGTTACAGACTCAAAATACTGAGCAAAGCCTTATAAACCCAATCACGATTTTGCTGATTGCTCACTAGCGGGGAAAAAAAAAAGGTCAACTAAATTAGACAGAGATTGAAGAGAGGAAGGACTGTAGTGAACAAGCTCAGAAACAGGGTACATTTGTCGACAAAAGAAAGTTGCATGTTGAATAAATCGAAGCTGCAGCAGCCCTGACAGCTAATGCCCTATCTGAGTTATCCAATATATGTGATCTGCAAGACAATCATAAAGAAAAATAATATAATTACAACATTTACTTTAGTTGAAAATCATGAAGTTACCATTTGATTTGTAAGCAATTTTGAGAAGAATTTGACTTCTAAACATTAAGACCATCCAGCCATTCGTGCGTTAGATTGAAGATTTATGAAAGCAAAAGTAACTACAGGAAAATTTGATGCTAATAAAAAGCTTTACCTGGGATCATTTTCAGATGTTCCCAATTGTTGAATGCCAGAAGCAGTGTTCCATTGAACAATTTGAAGCCCCTGGTCACAATGAAGCTGCATTTCTTTTACTTGGTTCAACCAACTTTCCTGAAATTTATAACCAAACACAAGAAAATTGCATGTAAATATTCAAATAAGAAAAATAAAATGCTGTGATAGTATTCACAGAGCAACTTCATCTATTTAAAATGCTGTGATACTACTCACAAGTTGATCCTCTTCTTCAGAAAGTGCTTTATCCATTTGCTCAAACAACGGGTTCCATCTTGCTCGATGCATGTCTGCAAAAGTACAGCTAGGAAATCCACCGGTGGAATTTTTCATGATACAAGGATCATTCTCCTGATCAGAGGGAAACTCTTTTGATATCAATGATGGCAAATCTGTAGTTATTACATCTTGAACTCTCTTCCTACTGCGTCGCAATGCTGCAGTTACATGAATAGAGTACACGTAAGGATGTGATCCATTCCAACAAGATCCACTAGTGATTTAACAGACACAGCGTTACCTGCAAGACGTCCTTTGATGTCTTGAAGAATAAGTCCCAACCATTGAGAAGCAATGGTAGCAGCTGAAAAAGAAAGAAGGAAAAAGAAAACATACATCAGCTACCACATCCACCTTTTTCAACATGTAAGATCTCCCCCATTCATCACTTGACTACTACTTAACCTACTTTTATAAATTCATAAAACAACTCCTAAAGGCACGGCATATTTAAAGTATTAAACATTTAAGATCAAAATTTTAAATAATCACCTTTAATAGAAAGATAAGATGCTGTTTCTTCATTAGACAAAGGGCTATCATCCTCAGATGCATTAGTTGATGATGGCAACTTGAATGCTAGCGTATCTTCCTCATTTTCAAGGACGGAGGGTGACATAAACCTTCTACCGCTAAACCTATCTACTGTGGTTCGTTCACCGTCTCCGCCTTTGTCCTGTGGAATAAAAGATCTATGCATGGATATAGGGAACCCTCTTGTCTGCCCGCCCTCAAAGGAAGTATTTTGATGCCGACTTCCATGACAGAAATGTACTCCGGACTCATTCATATTTTGCAGGTCCTTCCTGTTCCCAATTTCACATGCTCCACTCTTCGGATGGGTTGCGTGCATGTTTCCCACACGGTCATTTTCAAGTTTTTCAAATTTTACAAGGGACTCTATGATTGAACGGACCTGTTTTCTGTTTCTCACATGGTTTATAATCCCAGGGTTCAGTTCATTGAGCAGTCCACTTGGAGCAGCAATCTTTGCGAACCTGTCCACTTGTTCCCTCTTTGCACGTTCCATCTTTTTCTTGAGCTCTTCATTTTTACTTTTCTTGGTCCGTTGCTTTGGCATCGGAATGCCTCCATGAGTAGATGAGAGAAAACCATTTTGCTTCATCTCCTTCCACACTCTCATTGAATCCTTCTCTTCCAGTGGCCCAGTACAGCTCCCACACTCAGACACAGCTCTTGGCTTCAAGTGATTGGTATTTTTATAAGGGTAAAATGGATCTTGATTTTCTGCAATTGAAGCATCTTCTGCATTGAGGTCCAATCGGATGCCTTTTTCATTTACACAATTACTAGGATCCCTAAGCAAGGTGATCTTTCCAGAACTCTCAGGGCATTGCTGACTGTCGTCCTGAGCTGTATTGTTGGCAAGGCACATGTCTGTATTGAGATCCAGTGGTCTAGAAGCAGGATTGACGGCTACCGATAATGTCTTACTCCATGCTTTTCCTGGTTGAGAAGCATCCAAATCCAATGTTATAGGCACCTCAGTAACTTGAGACATCTCTTCACAACTGGATTGAAACTGACCACTTGATTCTTTGTTTTTCAAGGATTTTGTATGATGGGGATTAATTCCTGTGGCATGAAAAATAGGGCTTAGTATTGAACCCAAAACCACTCTGAATAGCAAACCAAAAGAAACTTTTCAATTTGAGTTTAAATAGAATGTAAATTATTTACAAAAACAAAGCAAATGCAAACCCCATGATATGAATGTCCGTAGAGCCTTGGACATCATTACCTCTGAGTAATTATACCTTCTCTGTTATAGTTCTAAACTATATAAACTGGGTGCACCAATGTTTTCAATAGTCTAAATGTATAGCATATATATCCAAAGAAATTGAAACTAAATATACTTAAGAAAGATTTTTCGGCGCCAAAAATGCAGAATCATATTCGATAAGGGAGACCACGTTCGACACCAAAAAGTTCAATTAAAAAGAAGCCGCACAGCAACAAGAAAATTTTCATATGTTCATAATAAATACCTTCAGACCGGCAAACAGATTCAAGATCTCGCATTTTAAGCCGCTTACGAGAACCCAAGTCACGTTCTTGTCCCAATTCGGTACTCACCCGCTTCTCCCCAACAGTCTAAAACAACCCAAAAAATAAAAAATCAGAAACCAGTGAAATGAACGAAAACTAGAGAACAAATTCCCTCAAATGCAAACTAAGCGCAGGAAAAAGAACCAACCTTTGAATCCGATCTGGGTATCGAGACCAACCCTTTTCCTGAATCACATCGGTCTTCCATAATCTTTGAACCCAATTCAAATACACCAATTTAAAAACCGACCCTTTTGCAAGAACCACTAAATCTGACTCATGGGCGCTAAAATTTGTAAACTTTTGAAACAAAAACGAAAAGGGTGAGTGCTGAAATGATGAATCTTTGGACTTCCCCGCGGGAGGAAACAAGAATGGAAGGTTGAGGTTGAGAGGGAAGAGGGGTTGGTGGGTTAGGGTTTTGAAGTTTTGCGTAGCAGATCCGTGGGAATTTTTATTTAATTGATATTCAATTTGAATTTTGGAGAAGAAAGAGAAGAGCGCGCTCTCACTAGTACAAAGGTTGTTCGTTTAGTTTCGTTCGGCTGCTTGCTCTCTCGTGGTTTAAAATGTAATTTAGAGGAGGCTTAACAACAACAACGTGGGTATTTTCAAATTCAAACAGGTTATTCAAACAGGTTGGAGGGACTTTGGTTTTATTTTTGGCCCAAAAGAGAAAACGCCGTGCTTTTTTTCCCACGCGTTCTACCGTAATGCTATAGGCCTTGTTTGGTTGCCTGGAAAAAGCTCTTATTTTGCCCTTGACATAATAATTACCCATATCATGCCATATTAATTTACCCTTTATTTTTGGACATATTCATTTACCTTGTAATGTAGTATAAATGTGGTGATAATAAATTAGGGAAAAATTATCATCTAGATTATGCACACACAATGCTTAAGAGTGATGCTATTAGAGTGTGGGGGTGTAGCTTTTTCAATATACTTTTCCAAAACATTTTTATTTGAGTGTTCGTTCAGTACAATTTATTTTCATTAATGAATCATTATCCTAAGGTTTTTGTTTGTGTTGTATGAAAGAAGATTACAAAGTTACCAAGCAACAATATTTTGTTTCCTGGATGCCTAATTTAATATCATTTTCATCAAAATTGTGTAAATTGCTGCTATGTTTTGTTGTATGTGTGGCGTCTTTATTTTAGATGAGACTTCGTAATGAAATATCATAATTCGACCAAAGAAAAAAAGTGGCTGGGGAATAAAGATATGAATGGAACAGATGCGCGTATGTAATGTAATTAGTATTAACTTAGGGCCCGTTCGTTTATGTTTTGAGAGCCCATTTTCATTTTGAGAGAACAAAAACAAACAGAAAACATGTTCGGTAGGCAAAAACAGAAAATACAGAGAACGTTTTATGAAAACAAAAACAACTTCACGTTTACTTGTAGAAAACAGAAAAAAGCTGTTTTTATTCTCACAGGAAACAACACTGAAAACACGTTGCTTCTCTCCCCATCAGACCAAAATCACCGTCAAAAGCTGCCAACAGAGAACCACACCCAGAACTTGAACCACCAACATCACCCAATCAAAATCACCGCCGCCCCATCGAACTAGATTGATATCACTGCCACTCAATCGAACCCAACAAAATCTCTACGCAATTGAATTGAACCACCATCGTTGAACAACTAATTGCCGAATCAATTTTCAATCCAAGAAAAGAAATATGAGCTGGGAAGCTATTGGAAGGTGAGGTTGCTGTGAGAGAGAGACAGAGAGAGGGTGCAGCAGCATGAAGAGAAAGTGGAAAATAGGGGGGTTGGTCTGATTCTTCAATTTTGGAGAGAGAGAGAGAATGAGAGAGGTATCTGGGGGGGGAGAGAGAGAGAGAGAGAGAGGGGAATGATAGAATTGGGGTGGGTTTGCAGAGAGTGAAAGCGAAGGTTGGGTTGAGGTTTCAATTTTTTTTTAAAAGATAATTCTAGTTTTATACTATAGAATTTTATTCTATTTTTTAAATAATATTCTTTTAAATGATTAAAAAATATTTTTTTTAAATAATATACGTACTATTTTTTTTTTTTTTTAAACTCACATATTGATCACATAATGTTGTATTAAAAAAAACATAATGCATTTTAATTAAAGTTACATACATCTTCACTGTTTTTGTCATTTTCACATATTACTGCCAGATGCGTTTTCAATGTTTTTTTTTCTCTAAAAACAATTTTCAACTAAGCTACCAGACGCGTTTTTGTTCTCTGAAAATGCGTTTTCATTTTCTCGTTTTCATTCTATGAAAACATTCTTTGAAAATGCTCTCTGAAAACATTACCAGACGGGCCCTTAATATTTATTATCTTTCAATTTGTGATGTCTTTATCATTCATCACTTTGATGCATTAGTCTTACATCATTCATCATTCCAGGATATACTCTTTTATATTCAAATTGCCAATGAATTCAAAGAAAAAGAATCCAAAATACTAAAAGCCATAATGGTAGACCAACGTTCCAAAATAATAAAACCTAACTAAACTCAAATGATAATTCCAAAATTTAAAAAGTTTGTGCAAAAATATAAGCACGAAGCAACATGATCTTCAATTTCAAGCACTCGTTACAGTTGCACATGGGAAGGCTTATGTGAGCTACTTGACCTTATGCATGGTGGGGCCTCTCTTTTCCAATATGCAAGGAAATTACTCATAATAATCATAGGGATTGTTTGGAAGTGATTATGGATAGACTTGAATCGTGATCGTTTGGGAGTGATTATGGATAGACTTGAATCACCTATGTCCCATGTGCTTCTCTTCATAATCATTTAAAATCACTTAAAGTCTTATCCGTGACAAGCGGATAATGTATTTATAAGTTTTCCAGCATAAAAAAATCTCACAAAAGTGACATAAAACATCAAATATATCAAAATCATTCAATTATTAACTAATAAAATAAAATAAACTCATAAATTTCTCAAGTCACCACATACAGCATCCAAATTCCTTCACACAAAGGAAAATGACAAAGACTTCAAAGAAAAGAAGAAAGAAAAAATTTGATCCACATTAGTTATATCATCATGGTTATGAGTTGTACAATTACAGTACTGTACACCATGAATGAATTAATATGATTTAAGTGAGCATCAAATTAATCTGGTGCTCTTGTAAGTTGGTATTTTGATTTACAAATTAATTGATTTTGGATTTAGAGTATCATTGGGCCTGGCCCTGCAGGGCCTGCAACAGCCAGCAATTCTTCAGCTGAGATTGGGCCGTCTCCCTGAAACTCTTGACCCGAACCAAGCAGAAATGAGTGCAGCCCAAGCCCATACCCAGCCCATAACCCGACCCGGCCTTTACTTTACTCGTCTTCAACAAGTAACAAGCTGGCGCATACTCCTCCCCTTTCCCCTGCACCACTAGCCCCCATGCCCGCGTGATCCCATCTCCGTCACCGTTCCGGTCACCTTCATCGTCATCCATTAGTTCTTCAACGAAGATAACGCCGTCAGGAAACGGCGCCACCCCACCCTCCCATTTTCGCCTGAGCACCTCCCAATTCTCTTCCTCCACCCCCTTCTCCGTTTCAATCCTCGGCTTCTCGTCCGTACTGCCCTTCCCGTACACATTGACCAACAGCGGCGCTTCTCTAAGATTCTTGACGATTTCCACCACCGAATCTCTCATCCACGCGTCCAACTTCTCATACGCCGCTGCCGCCGTCTCGGCACTATTTCCATTTCCACCGCCGCGACGCCGTTGTCGGGGCACCGCTTCCAAACTCGCCCGCGCCACCGCCACCGCCAATGAATTGACTCTCGCACCCCTTGATCCGGTGAGGCTGCGGATAATCGCACCACACGGCCTCTGATTGGATGAGGGACTGCAAAGATTGTCTTGGGAAATATCGAAGCATGGACTTCCTCCGAATTGAAGGCCCAGCGATGCCATTCGCAGAGACGGAGTGCAAGAAACCGCTCACTGTCTTGTTGAAACGCTTTCTTGTGGCGGATGAAACGAAACGAAACGATTCGATTCTTGGATTTGGATCTTTAGAAGCAGAGCCAGGTTCTTTATTGTGAACGGGTTTATATAGTTGAATTGGAATTCGAAAGCTTTCTGGTTTCCGAGTGCGTTTGGAATATAAGACTGTCAAAGAGGCGTGAGGATTTGTAATTAGATTGGGCACGAGCTCCATGGAAGGAAGAGCGTGGCGGGAGGCTTCGTGCACGAGCCTCACTCGTGGACGCGGGCTTCGAATTTGTAACGTGGCGTGGGGTCCTTTAATCAGATCCGTTGATGTAGATGACCTTTGGTTAGATCAAGGGTGTGGATATTTTAATCGTGTTCCGCGTTGTGGCGTGCACATTTTAATTGTGGGTCATGTGGGATGATAAAATAATGGAGGGGGAGGTTGGTCCCATTCGGCGACTGTGTGAGGACGTGGCACGTGGGTACTCGTGGAAAGTGCATGGTGTTCGGACGCTGGCTTTGCCCAGACGTCCGCTTGATGTAAAGCCTGACCAGTGAAGCCAGCGAGAATTGACACATCAGCATTGCTGTATTCGGCTTTACAAATCCACGTAGACAGAGTAAATCCACCTGTATTTTAGGTGTAGTGTAATAAATTGCGTTGATGTAAAGAGTTTGCGATTGTGAATAGAGCACACCCACCTCATTTGACCTGTTCATTTTCCCTTGGCCTCAAATTGTACAACTCTAACGTATTTCATGGACTCAAAATTTGACATAGGTTTTCTACATGCATGATTATGAAAAATAATAATAATAATTTTAAGTTGATCTCGGGAAATTACATATAGAAAGTTATTATTTGTCAATCAACATTAGAAAACGGTGACTATTAATATAATATTTGAAACTTGAAAGTAGGCTGCATGCGACTTCAAGGAAATTGGTCAATACTCTCAAGTTGCCCCCTATGATTGACCATCGAGAAAGACTTTAAACAAATCAAAGCTCACATTGTGACATTTTCCACGTATAGTTTATGAACATTCTTCTAATTATTTGTGTTTGAAGTTTGAAAGCAAATATCCCACGTTGAAGGAAACCTTAACACCAATTAAATAAGATTGGTGGACTGATGGGCTTGATAGTGAAGGCTATACATGGTTTGCTTACTTGATTAATAATAATATTTAAATAATAGTATTTTGTAATTAATTTATACAATTTTCGTATATTGCTATTGTCTACATTTTATAATCGTGTATTAATATAGTGATCCTATAATAAAAGATATTTATTAATTTTTCCTAACAATTTGAATTACAAGTTACTTGTGAATTACTACAAGATGATTCATTTTTACGAAGCTTAACTGGAAGGCCCATGGCTGGATATGGCATGGGTTCACATCTTATGGGCTCGTTCTTGATGATTGGTGTCCAAGAATAATTTGTAATGAAATGGTGAATGATGAGCAGCACTTCAACTCTTGCAAATTCTAAGCCGGGGCATATTCTAGGGCCTGCTCCAAATGGAATGTATGTGTATGGGGGATATGATGATTTCTTTGAGCTCTCAAATCGCGATGGATCAAACTTGTTTGGATCTTCAAATAGGTTGTGGTCCATGTGTGTAGCAGAAGAAACCCAGAAAACCTGAGATTATAATTAGTAACACTACATATTATTTACGTTTCCACAACATATATAGAGACGACGCATTTACGTTTTTCATACAAATACACTGTAGAAAAATACCAAGTATAATACCTTCCATCCCTTGGGGATGTGAAAGCCGTCAAAACTAGTGTCTCTAGAAGCACATTTGAAGTTGCCAAAAACTGGAGGAGTCAATCTCATAAGCTCTTGGGCCACTCTCCATGTATGCTTCATCATTTGGATTTCACTCCATGTAAGCCTTCCCTCATCACCACTTGCTTTCACAGCCTTAGCTACTTCCTTTTGCTCTGTCAGCAATTATTTAAAAAAAATATATACTTAGGAGGTAGTTAGTTAACCATATATATGCGAAGTTCAAGTGATTAAAAGTATTCGCAATAACACTCCAGGTTTATTATTTGATTCTTCGTCCAATATTGTTTATTATATTAAGAAAGAGAAAAAGGTGATATATACCAACCCACAATC